TTGATAAATGTAAAATGTTACATATATGCAAAAAACACAATTGTCAACCCCTAGAAATTAATTTAAATAATACTACTATTCATTATGTTAATTATCTAAGAATACTAGGCTTAATATTTGACAATAAACTTAATTTTAAGGAGCATTGTAACTATATTGGGAAAAGCCTAGCTGCCAGATTAAACATAATTAAATATCTAACCACTCAAAGATCTCACACACACAGAAACACTATGATCAATATCATTCAGGCACTTATGCTCTCAAAAATAGACTATGGGCTATTATCTACGGGCACACTTGCAAAACCAATTTAAGGAACATAGGCCCCCCTTACCACACTGCAGTAAAACGGAGCATCCGCGCTTTCCCGACCTCTCTCTTAGACTCATCCCAAGACTAACTCTCAACGCCAATAAGCATGTCATACACATCGTCAAAACAGCACTTAAGAGGAAAAGGCAGCCTAAAAAGCTCTCCTCTATATTCAAATGTATCCAACAAGCTAAGGAATTGGGGTTTCATATAACCCCTACACTTATCCAATCAAGTAGAATTCCTCCCTGGTACATCAATACAAAGGCATTTATTTCGGACCTCGAAATTTATAACAAAAACAACACCAATCCCCACCATCTACGTGTTTTATTCAATGAAGCGGTTAAAGATGAGAAAAATGCAACATTCCTGTATACAGACGGCTCAAAAACATCTACCAATACGGCTTATGCTGTGGTAAACAATAAGAACGAAGTTCTGGCTGTATAAGCAGAAATTGTTCCATATACACAGCTGAAAACTACGCAATACTCCTTGCTGTAAAATACGCTTCTACCAAAAAACGTCCACATGTAATATGCACTGATAGCAAATCCTCTATATCAGCAATAAAAAATCCTAATAATACACACATAATTATATCCCAAATCCGAGATGCTCTCGCCCAAACAGAAAACATTAAACTTATGTGGATCCCAAGTCACGTGGGTACTCCAGGAAACGAATTTGCTGACAAAATCGCTAAGCTAGCTACTTTGGATGCATCACCACCGACAAAGATAGCAGAAAAAGCCGACCTTTTACGTCTCATCTCCAAACACATAAATTTAAAACACTTGTCCAATTGGACAAATGTCACTCACCACTACAAAAAATACAACCAAACGGGATTATACACTTCATACCCACCTGAAGCCAAAACTACGCCAATGCGAGCTTTTACCCGATTTCGTCTCGGACACACTGCTCTCACTCATAGTCATATACTCCAAAAACAGGATCCTCCAATCTGCAAATTCTGCAACACCTACACCATCACTGCACAACACATCATTACTAACTGTCCAAACCTGACACACTTCAGATCCCAAATGAACATTACACCAGAAACCGCTCTAAGATCACCAACAATAGACAACATACAATCAATAACAGAATTCCTCACAAATATAGGCATTTATTCCGAAATATGATAAAAATCATACATACGCGAGCTGAAAGCCCTGGCAGCTAGTGCTCCAAATTTAAGTAGGTTAAGAATTAATTGTTAACCTTCTCTTTTATAAATAAAAAAATAAATAAATTTAGAATTAGAATCGTGTCTCTGCGTGCTTATATGCGTGTACGTATGCAGCACAGAGTTGAACCAAAGCAGCAACATGCGCTGCGGGCAGAACTACAGGCAGAGCATGGGCAACAATTTTATTTATAGCTATAACTTTCTTCAGAATTGATCAATCACTCACTGGATGTAATAAAAATAATATTCAAAATTCCAAAAATTACGGGAGTTATGGAAAAAACATGGCTGCTTCAAAAAAAAAAAACACAAACTCGTACTTTCTCGGAGAATCTGGATACCAAGTTTGGTTATTCCAGCTCTTATATGTTATGATATCTTTGCGTTCATACAGACGGACAGACAGATAACATGGCTATATCTACTCGTCTTCTCATACTGATCAACAATATATATACTTTATGGGGTCTGGCACGCCTCCTTCTCCCTGTTACATACATTCGCACAAAAAAACTCAAAATAACGCTCCGGGGGTTTCAGCTAAAGTTGTTTTTGATAACTCCCAAAAAATACGTCGGTACCACAGAACTTTGAAAGATTTCATTTTTTCGAACTTCCCCTCCAAGCAAGCTGTCAGCAACAGCTGCCAGTCGATGAGTACATTTGACTGACTAATTGTGTTTAAATTCTGTAACGTACTAAGTTAAATAAAAAACAAATATGCCATTTGCGTTAATATTAGCCCGCATCTGATCCCACTAAAGAACTCAACTTACGTTGCTTATTAAAAATTAAATTTATTTGTTAGATTTTGTATAGCATTTTTTGGAATTTTGCGCAGTTACGCAGTTATCATGAATAAGTAATTCTTATAAATAATTATTCTCTAATGTAACAATCATTCCCCAGACGATTGTTTAAAACGCCACATTTTTGAAATAATGAATATGGGCATTTCCACTGAAAGGTCCACCTAGACCCAAAAATTAACAGTTATTGAATTAACTTTTTTTTATCATATTTTTATAGAGAAACAATTGAATTTAACTATTTTAAATAAATATTAAAATTTTGAATAGCCCGTTTCGAGATATTTGAATTCAAAGGCATGAGCGGAAAATTTCTCCTTATAATACACTTTTGTTTTGCTTATATTTCTTAGAGAGAGATATTTTTCCATTGACTTTTGCTAATTAAAATGTTCCTGGAATCAGAAAGAGTCAAAAAAGAATGCATAAGAGACCACGCAATACTGTAAATTTTGACCCAATAAAATTGGAAAATATGTTAACCAATTAAAAAAGAGAGAACGCTACAGTCGAGCAAGCCCGACAGTGTAATACCCTGTACCCAGGTAAACTTCCGTCACTGAGTTATATGCGCCCATAGCAGCAGCAAAAAGAGGAAGAAGAAGAGCGAACTTGTTGCTGCAGTTTGTGGAGGTTGTACTGGGGAGAATTTGTTTCGCTAATAACTTTTCTTAGAATTGACCGAATTGGATAAAATTTTATACAACAGTAGATAATTATATATAAATTATGTGTGCAAAGTTTGGTTAATGTAGCATTTCAAATGTGGACGCTATTGACGAAATTCTGTAGCGGGGGAAGGGGGGGAAAATTCCAAAAAATAAAATAAACTCGCCCTTACTCGGACCTAGGAGAATCTGGATGCCAACTTTGGTTGTTCTAGCTTTTATAGTTTCTGAGATCCTCGCGTTCATCCAGACGGACGGACAGACGGACGGACATGTCTAGATCGATTTCTCTCGTCATGCTGATCAAGAATATATATACTTTATGGGGTCGGAGATGCTTCCTTCTGTATGTTACATACTTTGCACAAACCTAATATACCCTTTTTACCCTACGGGTACAGGGTATAACAAGTAACAAGTAAAAAAGCTAAAGTCGGGTGTCCCGACTTTGAAATACTCTGTACATATGTTTACAATAATTATAGAAAATAAAAAAAAAAAAGAAAAAAAAATTGGATCCTCTCTGTATTCGAACTCACGTAAAGGGTGTATAATTGCACATTTACATAGCAATTGCGTATGTGTGAGTGTATGTATGCCTATGCGCATCAATTCGTGTCTGTGTAAGCATTTTCGCAGTCAACCAAACAGCAACATCAACAACAGCCGCGGGCAGCGCTTGAGCAGCGCTGCAGCAGCAAATATATTTATGGCTATAACTTCTCGTTAAATCGTTAAATCGGTCTATCATAGTGAAACTTGGTATACGGATATATAATAACCAACTGGGGGTATTTCCAAAATTTTAGTTCGAAATTCCAAGAATTACGGGAGTTACGATTTGCGGGGTAGAGGGGGGAGGGAGGGGAATTCCAAAATATACATTTTCTGCGTATTCTCATAAGGCATCTGGGACTAAAATTTGGTGTTTCTAGGTCTTATAGTCTCCGATATATAGGCGATTATACGAATGGAAAATCGGGAAAACCCCCATAGGGGGGAAGTGGGGGGGAAAATCAAAAAAATAAAACAAACTCGTATAAAATACACACATAACGCATCTTTGTGCAAAATTTGGTGTCTCTATCTCTTATAGTCTCTGAGATCCAGGTGTTCATACGGACGGACAGACGGACAGACAGACAGACAGGGCTAGATCGACTCGTCTTGCCACGCTGATCAATAATATATATACTTTGTGGGGTCTGCCACGCCTCCTTCTGCCTGTTACATTTTTCAGCTCCCGCAAACCTAATATACTCTTGTACATTTCATGTACAGAGTATAAAATGGAAAATTTAAAAAAAAATTAACAACAATAAAATTATTAATTAATAAAATTAATATAGAAACATTGTTTATTATCATTATGAAACGTGTCATACGGACACATAAGCACATTTGAAAATGATGTGCCAACTGTAGTGCCAATTTCCCGATAAGTTTTTTGCTGGACATAGAGATTTATAATCATTTTACGGACTTTACTGAAATTTCTGTGCGTCCACTCATTTTGATCGCTTTGTCACCAACTCAAAAGCAAAACTAACTTAAAATCATAAGGAATTGGAGGAATGAGCAATTATTGAAGACAGAGTAAAGAAATATATCAAAGAAAATTGAAATGTTACCGTTATATTTGCAAACATTTTTTCTCATTTCTTGTGTATTTTCAGTTCTATGTGGGATAACGGAACAATTTCACGTGTTGTGTAGGTAATTAACAAATGGTACTAACTGCATCTAAAAAATTGCCCCTCAATATGTATTAAATACGTCTTTCATAAAAAATTCTACTTGTGCCAAGACTTTATTGATTCAATGTATATTGTTGATCAGTATGACAAGACGAGTCGATCTATGTATACCAAATTTTAGTCCTTGATGCCTTATGTGTGTGCAATTTGTCACAGAGAATAAATAATATTTGCACAAAGATAACAAGCTAAAGTTCAGTTGTTTAATCAATGAGCTTTCGAGTTATGAACACATTTTATACATGCATTACTTAATTCTAAGCACAACAGCAAATAATGAGTAAGCCATTTTAACGGTGGCAAAGAACGAATCTAAGTGTATACCCACTAGCCTTGCCGCGTACATCGTGAATTCTCGTAGCGTTAGTTCGACTAAAATGCACATCGTACGACGAAATTCGCGAGGATATTGTAGCCAGTTGCACGAAAAAATTGCGTACGGCAGTGCGTTTAGCTCCGCTTTTAAAACACTGCCAAAGTAACAACATGGAAAGATTTCCACGCACATAGCAACAAAATAAAAACTGTAATAAATATAGCCAGTGAGGCTTTTAACATAGTATATCAGGTAGATTAGCACCAGACACAAATTCAATCCGGCACCAACGAATTGTACCATCAAGACGTACGAAATCGTGTCCTGCAGTAAGTAGAACACTCTGTATGGAATAAAAGGTGATTAAGAAATGGGTGAAAAACATCTTACTGAACTCAACTTGATAATTTTCTTATGATCCTCTATGTACAGGATCAGTTCCGCGTTCGCCTTTTCCGCGCACACAAAATGTGAAGAGATTTCATCTTTTATCTCTTCGTTTCCAATTTTCGCTATCCGCAGCCCCAGCAAACGTACATGTCCGGCTAGTAGACACAGCACTAGAGCTGGGTAGATGTCATTAATGAGATTCTGTGTAATTTGTATGGTCACTCCTATGAACTGGTAGCACAATGCTAGCCAGTAAAGCGAATTGCTGGATTGCCAGTCAAATGGAATCCAACCAGGGTACATCAGCCGTCGCTCACTGTTCAGTAACACTCCAAGAATGGCCGAAAGGTTGGCTGCTGTGGCAGCAAACAGGAACAGGCGCACAATGATACGAGCCTGCCCAGCTACGCGTTGTGCAGCGGCCTGACCAGCTGATGCGTCAATTACTCGCTGGTCCAACGTGCTTAATAACGCTTCGATTGCATACTGGTTACGCAGCTTATAGCGAAGACACCAGTGCTGCAAGGTGCATATCAGACAAGTCACGTTGATAATTAGATTTTTAAATATATCGTCTTTGGAGCTGGTCAAAAAGACGCCTATGATGAGGTGCAGTGGATAACATATGGTAATGCCTACATTCAGGCACAGATCGTAGCCGTAGACCAGGAATCTGACATGGGGAGACGATTCCCGCATGTCGAGTCCTATCCCTAGAGAATGCCAGAAAATCCAGACAATCTTGCAGAGCTCTTTACTATTAAGGGCCGGCATCACAGTAACATTAACAAACAGGACTCTTTCAATGCCTTATAAAAGATGTTTAATTGTTGTCATTTACACAAGGGATAACAATTTTATAAATTATTGATTAGGCGTTTGGTTGATACAATTATGCAATGTGTATATTATGCACATTCCAGTCATTCCCGCCGTAATTAATATTTAATTTTAAGCAATTAAAGGTGCTTTATAATTAAAACCCATTTATTGCATAACATTTAAAGCCGCGTCAAAATTGTTTTTGTTTTTCTTTATACACAAATATGATTTAATGGGCATAACAAGAAACACCCGGATGGGCAAAGGTCGGGTGCTCCGACTTTGAAATACCCTACTCGTACATACACACGTGTAGAATATTTTATTTAAAATAAATAACCCAAATTTAAAACAAACACTAATTAAAATTGTGATAAAAACACACGCCTCCGTCTGTCTGTTACATTTTTCACCTCCCGCAATCCTCATATGTATACTCTGATAATCAGGGGTGCCACAGAAAGCTCCGGTGGTTTCGGCTACAGTTGTTTTTGAAAACTCACAAAAAAACTTCCGAAAGCCGGGGGCATTTGGGCACTTCCAATCTGACGTGATGTGTCATTCGTACGAAAAAATACCAAATAAATTAATGAAAAAGTAAAATTAAAAAATATTTATATAGCTGAGTAGTAGTTTAATAGCACTATATGCAATGAAAAAATGATAGCATACGACCTTCAAGTTTATAAGATATAAGCTAAAATAGGCCCTGACGTGACGTTACAAAAATAGAAGTGGGTCTTGACTTGAATTACAAATTTGCAAAACTCTGCGAAATGGGAAGGACTTTTTGCTTGCTTTTTATACCGTGTACCCGTAGGGTAAAAAGGGTATATTAGGTTTGTGCAAAGTATGTAACATGCAGAAGGAAGCATCTCCGACCCCATAAAGTATATATATTCTGAATCAGCATGACGAGAGAAATCGATCTAGACATGTCCGTCCGTCTGTCCGTCTGGATGAACGCGAGTATCTCAGAAACTATAAAAGCTAGAATTACCAAAGTTGGCATCCAGATTCTCCGAGGTCCGAGTAAGGACGAGTTTATTTTGTTTTTTTAATTTTGCAGCAACAAGTTCGCTCTTCTTCTTCCTCTTTTTGCTGCTGCTATGGGCTCATATAACTCAGTGACGGCAGTTTACCTGGGTACAGGGTATTACATTGTCGGGCTTGCTCGACTGTAGCGTTCTCTCTTGTTTAAATTTGAATTATGGACTGACGTGATAATTTCCATTGAAAAATTTTTTAGTTAGTATTGTTTTAAGAACATTATTTAACGTAAGTTGAATTGTAAAATAATGAGTTTTACCCATTTGAACGCACTTTTGCTGTGAAACGTTTAAAAATAATTACAGTCAAAAGCCATGAAAAAAAAAGTCAGAAGCAACATCGACTTCGAGCAATGAACTTATATTTAAATAATTTTAATTTCATTTGATGATTCCACCTGCATAAACTGCAATTTAAAGTAAATTGAAAATAAACAAATACCATGCAATTAAATTATTTACTATCTCACGTTACGTTACATACTTTTGAAAATCAAAATACTATTTGCTGATATTTTTTATTACAACTAAGTATATTAAACTTTGTTCAATTTCAAATTTTCACGCACTTGCGTGACGTTACATTAGAAGATAGATAAAAGCAAGTCAAAAATTGTACCGTCAATTGATATTGGTTTGCTCTTCGGTATTTATCTTAAGGTTTGTTTTTGTTGTAGCAACCTTTATGCAAAAAAAAAAACGCTGTTGCACAATAACTCTTAGAATCGTAAATGGAAAAGATAAAATGCTCTCAAAATATACGAAGCTGACCAAAACCCGAACTTGGACTTTGTAGGTCTATATCTCGCCATTGCAAATTGGTATAGCTTTGAACTCTTTAATTTAATAAAATTTTACCATTTCTCTTTAATATAACTGTTAGTTAGTTTATCGGTCATGGTGGTGTACTATGGGCACATAAAGAGTACAAGTTAACACTAAGTAAAACGGGCACTGGGTTCTTGCTCCCGGGCAAGAACCAGGTCAGTTGCCAGATTCTACTAACCCAGTCACCACTGCGAAGACCGGAAAGAGAATGCACAAGCTTACGTTGCATTCTTACGAACGACGACCGCAGGTGGTGATAGAACTGCGGGATCAGCACTTTTCGGTGAACCACTGCAGTGACGCCGACACCAAGCTGTAAGCATTAGAGTTTAGCTTTAAGTTCGATTTCACCTTTGTAATTAATTCTTACAATTTATTCAAGCACTAAAGTGCTAATAAAGTAACAGCTCCGGCGCAAGTCGTAATTATATTCTTTTATTAAGCCGATTGGCCAATATTATCCTAATACCAATATTGAATTAAATAACTTACACAGTGTACGCAGTGCATAGTGGCCATAGGGGCCAGTGCTGCCATTTTTTAATTTAAAATAAGTAAAAAAGCTAAAGTCGGGTGTCCCGACTTTGAAATAATCTGTACACATGTTTACAATAATTATAGAAAATAAAAAAAATTAAGAAAATTAAAAACAAAAATTCCATAATACACATTTTCTGCGTATTCACATAAGACATCTGGGTCTAAAATTTGGTGCCCGTAGGTCTTATAGTCTCCGAGATATAGGATATTATATAAATGGAAAATCGGGAAAACCCCCATAGGGGGGAAGTGGGGGGGGGAATCAAAAAAATAATACATACTTGCACAGCGTACACATATAACGCATCTTTGTGCAAAAGTTGGTGTCTCTACCTCTTATATTCTCTGAGATCCAGCTGTTCATACGGACAGACAGACAGGGCTAGATCGACTCGTCTCAAACCTAATATACTCTTGTACATTTTATGTACAGAGTACAAAAAAAGTTGTTTCTAACTGGAAGAAAGGGCAAAAAAAGCTAAAAATGTATAGAAAAAACATTTTAAACAAGAAAGGAATGCTAAAGTCGAGCAGGCTCAACTCTTAAATACCCTGTACCACCCCACAAAAAAGTAATTAAATTAATTAATTAATTTAATTTAATTAATTAACTAAATTAAATATAAAATATTCCATGCATGCATACATACATTTACATTTACATCAGAATCGTGCCTTATGCGTGTTTGTGTACTTGTACATATGTATGTATGTGTGCATTGGGCCTGGTTATATGGCTATAACTTTCTTTCCGATCATATCATAATGAGACTTGGTATACGGTTATATAATAACTAACCTAATGTGACTACCAAATTTTAGTTCAAAATTCTAAGAATTACGGGAGTTATAGAAAATCGTTAATAGTGGGGGGGTGGATCAGAAAAAATGGACTAACCAATGGTCGTGACTACCTATTTGGGTATATCTCTGCCAGACAGATAAATCAATACACAAATGAAAATTAATTCGTTATAATTACGTTTATTGGATACATATTAATTACATAATACATTAAATTAAGGTGTGCAATTACAAGCATTTATATTCTCTCTTTATTTTGAATTTTTTTCTCCTGTCCTTTTTACGTCCTCTTCTTGGACAGCTTTAGTAGCTGCAGAGCGGTGCCGAACTCGTTTTCTACAAAGCCTTCATAATAAATTTATATGAAATTCTGAAATTGTAAATTTATTTAATTGTACGAGTATATCATTTATTTGTATAAATACTTCATTCTTAATATTTATATGTTACATTTTTCGTTTCTAGCTTTTCGTAATTCTGTTTCGTGTCGTTGTCCTACCGGTATGGCGCTGTCTTCTTAAGGACACTGGCCCATTTAGGACCGGTCCCTGGGTAGCCCAAAGCGAACAATTTCCACATGCCGAACTGAAGGGTATGTACTGAATTCTATAGTAGTGTAAGTAAGAAACGTGGCTGGAGTTTAGTTTTAGGTTAGTCGGACTCTGGAGGCAATCGGGAGTGGACGTGTAATGAAAGGCCATGCTTATTAATTAAAGTACATATATTTTGGAACTTTGGGGTGCCCATAAATTAGGCAGAGTAGCATCGTTACAATACATTTAGTAATTCGCTAATTTAATAATATTTACATAGGACAAACAAAATATTTTTAATGCACATTGTTCAGGAAAACTATAGGGTATATATTCCAATGATTATTTTTATTTGGAAAAATGTCTTTGTTAGTGATTTAATCAAAACACCTGGAAAAAGAAACGAGATTAAAAACCTCCAATTCCTGTGGCACCGAGAATTGGTTTTTTAGGCAAAACTTGGGCGGAAAAGATTTCTGTGGCACCCCTGGTTATTTTTAAGTAAATCACACAAAGTCATTTAAAGTCAGCATTAAGATAACTTTTTATGTTAACAATACAAATATTAATAATTAATAATACAAAAACAAATCAATCCGACGCTATGAGTCTCTGTTTCAACGAAGCTTATGTTTTAAAGCATCGATGCATCAATGTTTTTTGCAAAGCATCGAATTTTTCAAACAGCTATCGATATACACCGATATCGATGTTGTCCCTTCGACTTATATCCCTAAATAAAACTCTAGTTTAAAGTATCAAAGTCGATTATAGGCAGATTTGACTTTTATTAGCAAAGAAAAAAAAAACAGAAAAAAAAAACGATTTAATTATGTATTTCACAGAATCAATCGTTACTTTGAAACGAATATTTTGCTAAGACTCATAAGTTTTTAAATACGGTCACATCAATACCTTTTCTTCCCTAAGAAACGTGGGTTGTATGTTATCAATCTGTAAAATTTATTTAGAAAATCGAAATTTTTGTGTACGAATGCAATGCCCCAGTTTACATGCATCAACTGCGATGTACGTTTTGCCAATCCGGAAATTCAGCGCGAGCATTACAAAACAGATTGGCACCGTTACAATCTCAAGCGGCGTGTAGCAGAGCTACCACCCGTGGCTGCCGAGGAGTTCCAGCAGCGGGTACTGAGCGCTCGAAGTGCTACAGAAACCGCCATAAAGGAGAAAAATATGAGCATTTACTGCAATGCATGCCGCAAGCAATTTGGTAGTCAGAAAGCATATGACAATCACCTTAACAGCAAAAAGCACAAGGAATGTTTGGTAAAATATGCACAGTCTGTGGAAACAGAGCCTGGATGTAGTAGAATAACCAAGGATTTGTGCCACAAGAGCATTCTGAAGCCGCGGCAACATCCCGGCTTAGCATGTAAAAGCCGATTCGCGTTTACCGAGCGCGCCGTAGCTATGAGTGCGGATAATGATGAAGAGGACAGTGATTTTGAAGACATCGAAGAGGAGGAAGAGGTAAATAATATTAAGGTTCTTTTTTAATTTTCAAATATCTTCACGCATATAACTACAGGTGGACTCAGACGAATGGGACAAAATTGCGGAAAATCCGCTCACGGAAAATGATTGCCTATTCTGCAAACACACCAGCAACGATCTGGTTGACAATTTGAAGCATATGTCAGTGACACATTCCTTCTTTATACCCGACACGGAGTTTTGCACCGATATTGAGGGTCTGTTATACTACCTTGGTGAAAAGGTCGCCAATTACTTTATATGCATTTGGTGTAATGACCGCGGCAAGACCTTTTACTCGCTGGACGCTGTACGCAAGCATATGGTGGATAAGGGCCACTGTCAGATGTTGCACGAGGGTATGGCACTGGCGGAATATGCAGACTATTACGACTATAGTAGCAGCTATCCTGATCATGTCAGTACGCAAAATATGTATATATCATGCATGCTGTAACTAATGAAATTCTCGTTTCATTTCATTTCAAATATGCAGAAAGAGGGCATGGACATTGACGAAGAGGTGGTGCCCGAACTGTTGGACGGTGATGAGTATCAGCTGGTATTGCCATCTGGCGCGGTCATTGGTCATAGATCCCTGCTGCGCTACTACAAACAGCACTTGAATCCAGAACGCGCAGTGGCGATAAGGAAGTCCGATCGGAAATTGCACCGCGTTCTCAGCGAATACCGTGCGCTTGGTTGGACTCAGACGCAGCAGCATGCGGCGGCACGCAAGGCACGCGATATTCATCTAATGAAGCGAGTGCAGTCTAAATGGCAAATGCAGTTGGGCACGAAGGCCAACAAACTGCAGAAACACTACCGTGCCCAGATACTTGTTTAAGCAAACATGTACCGTGTATGTATACAGATGTTGATTGATTGAAGAAAACAAAATCGAATGTTTTCTTGCTTTTTGCTTTAAACAAGCATTGTTTTCTTTACACTAGCAATTTTTTCAAATAAAATTACATTTAAAAAAAAACTATTAAATAAAATTAACTTTTGATTTCGTACCAGTAAACTTAAGTTTCTATCGTTACAACATAATATACATATTTAATTATAATTAGGTTAAAAAAGAGCTCACTTATTATAAAAAAATTTGTATTTTTAATTAAAGCCGCCCAGATTGACGATAGTTGCTGTCTTAAGGTGAACGGTTATCAATCCGTTGGAACATCAACTGATCAGTTTAATCGAATTTGCAGCATTGCTGGGCGATGCGTGCGTTTGCAGGGGCGGTTACGGTTCTGTGGGCGTGCATGGGTGAATGAGACAGCGAGTATGATATTTTAAATAAGGCATGTATGTGTGAGCGTGCGCGTGTGTGTGTTTATGATGGGTGTAATTTTCATCTAACAATATATATATATATATATGCATGCGTATAGTAGACGTATGATTGTATGTGGCTTTGTGGATTTGTAATGCAAAAGCGAAATACAAAATAGCAGTGTGCTGGCATTGGCTTACGAACAAAAAAAGGTAAGCTATTTCCCTTGTATGGAAGCAGCAGACTACGAAAGAGTGGATTAAAAATGAGGCTGATAGGTGCGAAAAATGCTAATGTATAACTACAGGATTCTGTTGAACACATACGCCCACCATGGGCGACGACGACGACGTTGCGGATGCCTCGCTGCTGCTAGTTCCCGCTATAGAGCTGCCACTGCCTGTACTGCTGCCGGTAGAGACTGGATTTGTTATCATAGAAGCGACTCGACGCTGCGACAACGGTTGATTGAGCGCAGGCGCTTGGGCAGGCACGGTTGACGAGGGACATGGCGGCGGTGGAAGCTGCAACGGCTGGTAAAGCAGTGCTGTATAGGAAGCTGGACCGGAGGCAGCAGCTACTGGCCCTCCGGCTGCCGATACACTAATCACACTAGAATCAGCCATCATCAGGTGAGATGCAGCCGCCGAGATGTTGTAGTGATGCACCAGATCGAGGGGCAATGACGTTGGTGCATAGTTGTGATGTTGTAGCTGCAGCGTCGGAGCAGGTAACTGCTGATATCCGGTTGAAATTACATGCAAGCCGTTGTATTTAATATTGCTGAAGCTAGGTCGCACGCGACCGTTGGTCGCCTGAACAAATCGCGGTGCAGTCGCCCCCATATTGGCTGACGTGGTAACGGCAGAAATAGCGCCAGCGCTTGGTGCAGGTGGATCGCAATCCATGGCGTGCGGATAGTTATTGTTAGTCTGCACCGCACTGACTTCGGCAATTGTGTGTACGGGTGGACCCGAGTTTTGCAGCAGTGCTGAGAAGTTTATGACGTTTGCATTGCCAGTCGTGTTTAGATTTGCGCTCGAGTGGTGTAATAACAGGCCTGAAAATAAGGATTCACAATGTTAGTTAACAGCATCTTAACAGTTGATTGCTCGCAATGGGCTGCATATTGGAAAGGGTGGGGGATGAAGGCTGATGGCCCATAAACAAAAACGCAAGCAATAGCTTTTGTTAGAATTTTACTTTTTGCTGATTATATCGTAAGTTTTTATTAACGGTTTTTCGTTTTTTTTTTCATTTTTTTTTCGGCTGCAATTTTACGGATTTTTCGTTTCATTTGTTTTTTTTTTTTGTTACTTATCATTAATAAATTATCCCCCTATACATACATATATATGTATATATATGACAAAAGCAACAGGAAAAAAGTTCGGAAATCACTTGTATAATATGTATATAAATGACACAAATTTGTGTGTCCGTTTCCGACTCTTCCCTGAGTCTGCTTGTCTGAATTGCTTTTGTCTTTATCATTACACATTTACATGCGTGGGTGCCTGTTGTGTGTTTTGTGTTACATTTCTACAACTAAATGCATTTCTTTCATGCCAGATGGTGGCTTCTATCCTGTGGATCGACATAAGAGCCCCGTGTGTGTGGATTTAACATGAACATACTTGTATGTGCTTTATACTACATACATACGTATTTATATTCCATAAAATAAAAAAATGAAGTATGTTATAGCACGGTATAAGCCAATTAACAGCAAATGATTGAATGACTGATTCCATTGATGCTTTCTGAATACATAGATTCGTGTGGAAAGTTTACATTATCAACATTAAAAACAAGAAAGGAATGCTAGAGTCGAGCGGGCTCCACTCTTAAATACTGTGACTTGAGGTTAAATAAAAAATATTAAATACATAGATACACAAACGGAGTTTTATGTTTATGCGTCGAAGCAGGAACAACAACAGCTGCGGGCAGAGCATGGTCAAACATTACATTTATGGTTATATCTATCTTGACAGTTGACCTATTATGATAAACGGACACATAACCACTAACTGGGTATAATTACCAAATTTGTGGGGGACCGGGTATGGGGATGCTTCGTAAAAAATTAACAAACTTGTCATTTCTCGAGCTTAGGAATTTGGATACCAAGTTTGGTTATTCTAGCTCTTATACTTTCTGAGATCCTTGCGTTCATACAGACAGACAGACGGACATGGCTATATCGACTCGGCTTGTCATGCTGATCAAGAATATATATACTATGTGGGGTCTACCACGCCTCCTTCTGTGTGTTCCATGAACACTCGCACAAAACTAATACTCGCTCAAAACTAATATACCCTTTGGGTATAGGGTATAAAAATTTAATTAATTTATTAAATTAATTAAGAAAATTTATTTAGTATATTAAGTTTTATTATGATAAGTTGATCAGATAGAAAGTTATAGCCATATAACCAGGCCCAATGCACACATACATACATATGTACAAGTACACAAACACGCATAGAAACGATTCTGATGTAAATGTATGTATGCATGTATGGAATTTTTTGTATTTAATTTAGTTAATTAAATTAATTAATTAATTATTAATTATTAAACAATTAATTAATTAATTTAATTTCTTTTTTTGTGGGGTGGTACAGGGTATTTAAGAGTTGAGCCTGCTCGACTTTAGCATTCCTTTCTTGTTTTTAAATAATTTAGTTTTTTTAATAATTTTTTTTAAATTTTTCTTTATTGTGGAGGCTATTTTACTGTCGGGCTTGCTCGACTGCACTATGGTTTTTTTCTCGGTTTTTTTTTTTATTACAGAAAGAAATTTTGTCCAAATATAAAAAATTATATTTTTATTTTATTATAAATTGTTTAATTAAGCGAAAATTAAATGAATTCCTGCTGATATGGCAACACCATTTTCTTGGCGCGCATTCAAAGTTACCTGATTGTATTTGTGATTTTGGCAGCAATTTTTGGTAAACTTTCAGAGCTTGCAGAATTAAGAAAAGAACCCACAAAACTTAAGTTATATAATGGAAAACGTTAATCAAGGTATGTCAAATTATAATCCAAAACTGTTTTTAAGCTATAAAGTGTGTTCGTGTAATAGTGCCATGTGTTGCTCATGTGTTTTTTAAAAATTAACCTTTTTAAGTTGCGCTGTGTTTCCTTGAATAGTACTTTTGAATGGTAGAGTTGCAAAAAGTTATAAATGTGGAAATACCAACTAATATATGTTTATTATGGAATTACTAAGAACTTCGTCCCAATTTGCACGTTTCTGTAAAATTGCGTTTGTTGCAGTAAAACTACTGTTTGGGCATGCAAACATTGTTGACATTTGTAGCAGCAACAAAGACTCAGAAGACGCATTTAAGCAGAATACATTACAGAAAGTTAACGTAAGCATCTTAGATGAATACAATACTATGTTAATATCGGTAAAAGTAAAATCCTTCTCCAATTATATTAAAAAACACATGCCAAGTTGTAATCGAACTTTAAAGCCATTCAAAAAATCACAAATTGTTTTGCTTTTAACATGATTGTTGATGTTGATGGCGACTTTGAACCGTGATAGAAAACGCTACAGTCGAGCAATACCGACAGTGAAATACCCAGTTTCAAGACAAACTTCAAGCACTGAGTTATATACGCCCATAGCCCATAGCGGAAGCAAAAAGAAGATGAGGTAGCTTGATGCTGTAGCTTGTGGGTGTAGTACTAGAGTGAAATGTTTTCGCTAACAACTTTTCTAAAAATGTACCGATTTGATTGAAATTTAAAACAAAAATAGATGCTTCTATATAAATTGCAAAGTTTTGCTTATGTAGCTTTTGAAATGTGCACAGTATTAACGAAACTCTGTAGCCTGGCAGAGGGAAGAGGGGGGAAATCAAAAAAATAAAATAAACCCATATTCAATTATTTATATTTTGTGAACTAAAATATATTGCATGTGAGCAATATATAGGCCAGTTTCTGGCTCGATACAGTTAAAAATACTGAAGTTAGTGAAAGTCGACCATATCGGTTATATGGCAGCTATATGAAATAGTGGCCCCAACTAAACCAAACTTGGTATGTCGTCTTGAGGTACCAAAATATGCGTACCAACTAAATTTGGGGTAAATATCTTAATATTTCCATAGTGGACTGTAGCGTTCTATTTTGTTTTGGTTTGCAGAAGTGTGTTGTTGTAGTCTATTTTGAGAATGAGTGTGCAAAATTCTTCTTTGGTCGCAATTCTATGTACCCTTTTCATGAGGTATATACATAGTATATACATACTTAGCTTGAGTCTAATTTGTTCATAGCAATATCACCTAACGTTGTTTGGTGGCATTAGGTATTACACAGGGTTGGAGCAGAACTATGCATCGTAACATATACTAATAACAATAGAAATTTACAAATTATGCCAATTTAAAAACAAAGTGAATGAAAAAGTTGTTCGATTTTACCTGCTTTGGTATTCAAACTGACGAAAAGGGTGTATAACTTCACATTTACATAGGAATTGTGTCTATGTGAGTCTATGCGTTTCTGTGTGTGAGCATGTATGCAGGACAGAGTTGAGCCATGCAGCAACTACAACAAGAAATTGACCTATCAGAATTAATCTTAGCATAAGGACACATACCTGGAGGTATTTAAATCAAATAATAAAAAAAAAATGCACAATGTACACACATCTGTGTACACAA